GCACAATAGTGCAGTGGTTTGTGTGTGTGTCGTTGTTCACATACTTGACTGCGTGAGGGTGGCTTCATGTGTACATTTATACTTGTCCATGTGGGCAGACACGAAGGAGCAGAGTTTGCCTTTTCCTTTTAGAGCCTCTGTATATATTATTCTTTTGTCCGGGCCAAGCTGTTCTGCATTTCTAATGTGAGAAAAGCCTCGACAAGCCTCTTTCAGTACGACGACAAAACACACCACCCAGTGAAACAGTTTCTCTCGCTAATCCTAATCCTAATTTCTAAACCAGGTTTAAACTGTTTTGTTTTGATGGTTTGAGAGGAGATAAGTATTTAGTGATTTATCTTGACAGTTTTTGCCATTCCTCTGAGTGAGGTCTTTGGTAATTAGAGCTTAAGGGCAAAGTTTGTGTGTATATTGGAGGTGAGATGAGTAGATGAGTCTACTTTCGCCCCGAGGTCTGACTGTAACTTCGTGCTCAGACCTTCATACCTCGCCTGAGGGGCTTCACTCATGGAGGTCCTGGGTCTGTGTTGGGAGTTGACCACTTGTCAGAGTGTAAAACCTGGAAGGGACAGGCTTTAACTAAACCCACAACATCCAGGCGAGATTTATAGTCTGATACCTTCATCGGAAAACATCCTCCAGGAGCTTTCCTTTAGCTGTCTGCCTCTGTGGTATTCTTTACATCTCATTAGTTGTCAGTCCAATCTACATCCCTGAGATTTAGTGAAATCACAACAATACGTGGTTGTTATGGGCCACACTAGCTAGCTGAGCTAACTGCTTGCAAATATTGCAAATATGAGAGTGGTATCAATCTTCTTATTTAACTTTTAGAAAGAATTACATTTATTTATTCCTTTAACAGATAGTTGGAATATCACTAAGACCTGATTTTCAGCCTTGTTTATTGTCATGATATAAAATAGATCATTCTAATTAGAATCACTTAACTTAAAAAAACAAGTAAATCTATTTATCTTGGGTAAGAAAATAAAAGATTTAATCCTCCTAAAAGAAGGTAAAAGTCATTCTGCAGTGTGCACATTAAACTCTCCCAGTTGTTTTATTATTCATACACCTCTTTGCTGTTTCCTATTATTTCCTAATGAAACAATCCACTGTGCCCACATGTATCATTAAAGTTACATCTAATCCTCATCATTGTGTTTATCATCGTAACATAATACACCCACTCTGTGCTGTTGCAGGACGCTGTGGCACAGCAGCATCACGCTACTCGGAGCTCAGCTGCAGTCAGTCTCATGTGTTTGATGAACTGGAGGCCATTGCCCCTCGGTCAGCTTCCTGTCCGTCTCTGGACCAGACATCAGACTCATCAGGTTCTCCTTCCCCCGATACAGGTACACGCACAAACACACACCTTACTGAACAGTAACTGCAACTAAGAATTATTTTCATTATTAATTGATCTATAGTTTTTAGCCATGCTAGCAGCATCAAAAATGAAATACAATATACAACAACAACTATTGGCTGGTACAGATATTCATGGTTCCTTCTCATGGAGGAGTCAGGATGAATTGTGATTACTGTGGTGATCCTCTGACTTTGATAGTGCCATCATCAGGTCCATCATCCATCATTTTGTCCAATACCTAAAAATTCCCATGCGCTTCGGCTGTACTTAGTGTTGTTTAGTCCTACTTGGCAAACGCAAACCCTTAATATCAAGGACAACCGCAGTAGACACACATTAGATCATCACCAATTTGAGAAGATTTTGTCTTGAAGAATCGCCTCATATTTTTTTTATGTTTATCTTTTTAAGGTCATAGTCTTCGTAGTCAATCAATGGTCAAACTTACATTTTATTCCTCCTTTTTCTGGGGACCCCCTACAACCCACTCAAGGACCCCAGTTTGAAAACAACTGTGCTAGACTACAGTGGTGATTATGCTAAACATCAGCCTGTTGGCATTGTCATTGAGAGCATGTTAGCATGCTAGCGTTCAATTCAAGAGCTGGTAGTGTGACAGTAGACTCTGTCTTTATTTTATTGATTGTTTTGTCTATAAAATATAATAAAATGGTAAAAACAAAATTGATCGATTATCAAAACTAGTGGTGATAATTGTTGATGTTTTGTCTATCAACTGATTGATTAATTGTTTCACCACCAAATCGGAATTCCAAAATTCATCATTATTATAAAGTTTTATTAGAAATGTGCTCTTGATCTTGTATTTGGCTCAAGGTTTGGATAATCACTTTTTTGTAGCTCCTCTTTCAGTAGATTCTGGCAAAAGTGGAAAATGATATGATTGAATGTCATAACTCCCCACATTGTGTTGTACTTAATGTTTTTGTGTTTGTTTGTTGTTGTTTCCATCTCTATGCGACTCCCAGTAATGTCTCAATTAGACATGCTCTCCTTCCTCTGTGACTTCTGCCTTGTTACAGACGGGGATGGGCTTATCTGAGCACTCAGTGTGTCAGGTCTTTGTATCAGCCCATGTTGGCCAACAAAAGCAGAGTAAATGTGATGTGTGTGTGTGTGCATGCCTGTGTCAGATAGCATGTGTAAATGTGTGTGTGTGTCCTGGAGGTGGTTCAGCGAGCCACTGAGAGAGACATTAGCCAATGAAGACTTCCTCCACCTCCCTCATAGCCCGCTAATCCCTGACAAGGTGTTTAACCTGCTTGCTTGACCCGGACCTCCATCTGACCCCGGCGACCTTTGCCCAGAGGATGTGGAAGGATCAGGGCGACCACTGCCATGGCAACCACAGTGTGATAAAATCAACTCAGGGCTCAAACCAAATGTGAGCTAATGCTCCAGACTGATTTTTATCAGCGACTGACACAAAGCACAATTTACATCTGTATAGAATGTGGCTGATTTTAAGCTTCACTGAGCAGGATTTTTATTGAAAGATACAGATATCTTATCAGGTTTAATCACAAAGTGGCAACACTGAGGAGGATATTTCATCTTTAAATACATGTGGAGAGCCAGTAATAAATGAATGAACAGATTCAGCAACTGAAGTGAGCAAATAAACCAAATCTGAAACAGAAAATCTGCCCAAATGCAACATACATACATTTATTTTCCATAAAAACCCAAGTCACCAAGAAGGACCCGAGGACAGTCTGACCTGACAGAGAGCGGAAAAAACTGGCAGTGACATGATGCTTCGCCATTTAATAAGCAGTTATGGTCGAGTTGAGCAGAAAAAAATGTTGTGTACTTACAGTTGATTAGAGCGGAAAGGGAATGCACTCAGACTGCTCTGTTGTGGAACACCTCTTGTAGGACTTGTATAGATCATCGTATGTGAAGTTTACTGACTCCATAAATTGTATTTATTTTATTTGTAATTGTATTGTAACTCAGAAGTTTAAAAACAGTTTTTCCTCAAACTTAATCTTGCCAGTGTACAAAGCATTTGAATTAGACGTGTGTCCGCACTCTTCTGTCCGTCTGACACCGTGTGGGTGGCAACCAGTGTGTCCAACACAAGATTAGTCATTTGTTATCAGCCACTGTGTTTGCTGAGTGTCTTTCAATGTTATGGCTACTTTTGGCTAATTATATACTAATACCCGGCCTAACTGAAAGTGTGTCCCGCCACATTATGTTACACCCACAGTTATCCCTGGGATTTCCTCTCAACAACTCCTTAATTTATCAGCCGAGGCAACAGTTCCTTTTTCTCACCTGAGGGATTACTTTACCAAAGCGTCAGCACACCTACACACATGTGTGACTTCCCAACTGAAAATACTTTCAGGAGAATGCGTGTGTGCATGTCTGCGTGTGTGCATGTCTGCGCGTGTGTGTGTGTGTGGGTGGGAGAGTAGTGGACTTATTGCATAACACAATTAAGACAAACCTCAAACTTTCTGGGTGTGAAAGCTACTTTAATGTAAAGGGGATGTGGAGGCTTATGTACAGCTTTTTGGGATGTTGCTGGGAATGTGTGTGTGTGTGT